AAAGGTCATACATAAAAATTTTGCAGGACCAGGAACTTTTGTGTGTAATGCAAGAAATCAGGACATATCATACCTGATTGCCCGGTGCTTCAAGGTCGGATTAGAGAGGGCAGCTTACCTGGAAGCGCCCCTGGGTCTTCGTCTGGTCCTCCTCACCGTCACCCAGCTCCAGCCTACGCCGGGACTCCAGCCCTGCCCACCGACAGCCCCATCATCTCTGCGGACAACCTTGAAAAGTTTATTAGTAAAGCAATCGCATCTGTGTTTGCTAGTCTCGAATACTTTACATGTGCCTAACCATTGACCGCGTCAGCATTTTAACGGTCAATGGGGCTCGAATACTTTACAAGTTGCTAATGGGGCTCGAATACTTTACCACGTCAGCATTTTAACGGTCAAACTTAACCATTGACCGCCACATAGGACAGATTTAACGGAACTAGACGGCGAGTGACCAAAGATGATATAAACGAGTAGTATCAGTGGCTAAATTTAAGCGAAAGTTATTTGGGCGGCTAACTTGTTACAAATAGATAATATGAGTGACCAAACTTGCAATTCACCTCACTGATGCATTTTAGATTGATCGTCTCCTATTTGTACCCAACCATACACACCGACAACTTAATTCCCCTATCTCATATGCCCCGTATAATTTACCAAAGAGGCAAAGATGTCCAAGTAAAACCTGTTGAACCAATCTTTTCCTTTCTACAGAGGATAAAGAAAAGTTACAGTTAGCAATATTTAAGATGCCTCGTCTTGTTCGTTCTTTGTTGGTGAAGAGCCTAAATGGAGGACCAACCAGAGAAAATGCTTGATTCAGCTTGGCCGCCTCCACTTCTAGTGGTTATTCCACTTCTGCATCTCATCTTCCCCCTCAAGATTGGCAGCAAGAGCATAAGCAAACTTAAGTCAAAATCTTCCATCACGTTCAAGCCCCCGTGACATTTTGTCCTCTCCGAGCTCAGGGTTAGGTGGTTCTGCACCTGCAATCAAAGATAATAGCTCATTAGGGAGGAGAGGTTGCCGTTTCTTCCAGTTCCACTTACCTGTTTGGGTGACCCAGTTGGAGACTGGTGAATCCCTTTCTCAGTGGTGATCTCCTCACAGAGGTAGTCATCGAGAATAACCCCACAATCAAGCAGGGATGCTTAGAAAAGTTGGTTGTCTCCCCATTGCGAATGCTTCAGCAGGAAGCTTCCTTCATAAGAGGCATTGCCTGAACAATAGCTTTCCACAAGCTAGAATGGTTAAATTTTTCATTGAAATAATTTCACCATTTTATGCTTGTAATATTTCCGTTGGATGACTCTAACCCAAAGGTCGTTTTCATTGTTGAAAATATTCCAAGCAAGTTTGATCATATTTGCTTCCAAGACACAAGGCTGCACGCATATCTAAGCCCCAAAACCCCCGGCTTCTTAGGTCTACAAATTTGCTTCCAAGACACAAGGTGAGCTTTTCTTTTCCCCTCCTGAGATCCCGAAACAAAACCACGAATTTTCTTATCAATAACATCACACACACTCAAGGGGATAGGGGTTGTCTGCATGACATAGGTGGGAATAACATTCAAAACCGAGGTGGCAAGAGTGACCCTGCCAACAAGGGAAAGGCTTCTAGCCTACTATGATGTAAGCTTCTATCAATTCTATCGAGAATGTACTTGTAGGTATTCCTAGTGATCCTCCCATGAATAGCAGGAACACCAAGATACTTACCAAGATCATTTGTTTCCTGTATTCCAAGCTTAGCACAGATATTCTGCCTAGTATTGGTTCTAACATTTTTAGGGGAAAAAAACACAAGATTTTTCTTTACTAACAAATTCACCAAAGGCTAAGCAAAACCAACCAAGGTAGTTAAGACATCATTAGCTTGGTCAGGGCATGCATTGGAGAAAAACACAAGATCATCAGCGAAGAAGAGCTGGGTTAAAGCAAGACCATTAGAAGATAAAATGACAGGTTTCCAATTCCCTTCCCTACACTCTTTCAGAATGCATTGGCTCAGACGTTCAATGCATAAAGTAAAGAGGTAGGATGATAGAGGACAACGAGTGAGAGTATAACTCTTAGATTGCTTGAGTTGGTGTAGCAAGTAGAGACTCTTTTTAGCTAATAGCTTGTGAGGAAGAGAGGTCCTTTGATTTTGGTTATGCAATTATAAAAGCGTTTGAATTCCACCAAAAGAATTCAACTTGGGGTTAGCTTGATAAATAAGAAAAACACTAGAAAACCTAGGTCTCAAAGGGCATACACCTTTGAGCCGAGATGTAATCAATAGATTGAACCCGGTTAACAAAAAATATTGTGTCATCTCTGCGTTGTGCTCCCTTTCTCTGCATATCTGTTGTGTACTATGTTTTCAAGCAACACTTTATTTTGCAGGCAGTGTTGAAGGCGGGAAGGTCATACAAACTTACCGTTGTTGTGTCTTCAGACTGGTCGAGTGAGCTGCTATCACGAATGGGGTAGTGGCTAGGTCCATAGTTTAGTATGGAAAACCATGATGTGGACCAGACCAGAGCACACTAAGAGGTCAATACATCCTATAATATAAATCATAAACCAGATTAGATTATTCTTAATGGTCTACGATCCGTACAAAACTGAACTGTGCGATGCAGTTTGGTCCATAATTTTTTAAATGGTCCGGTCTATTTTTTCAGCCATACAACCTACTGCGTTGAATTTTTGTTTGTATTAGTGTATTTCTTGGTCAAGCCATCAGGATTTATCTTGGGCAATGTAGTCAAAATTTCATTTTAAAGATTAAAAATTTACAATTTTTCAATTTTAGAACACCAAAACAGTTTTACATAAAAAAAATTTAAAAAAATTTAGAACACCAAAACAGTGTACTATCTCAGCCCAAATCAGCTTCATATTCGTTGGTCACGCTTGGATGATAGATAATAAATATCACATGATAACAAATTCCACTAAACACAGGGTGTATCTGTATCGTATCCACATTATTAATCAATCACCCATGCAATTTAAATCTCCAATTTTTAAACTTACCGCTTGTTCTTCTGTCACTTATCCGTCAGAAATGCAGCGGAAAAATAAAAATATATTACATAAATAGACTTTAATATATATATATATATATATATATATATATATATATTGGGTTAATGCCACATTTGGTCACTGTGATTACTAAATTGTGTCAAGTTTAATCACTAGAAAAAATTAATATCAAATTTGGTCACTCTAATTACTGAAACAGGTCACGTTTAGTCACTCTCCGTTAGTCTCCGTCCAACACCGTTAAGGGAGTCCGTTATGTGCTGACGTGGCTAACGGGATCGCCTAGTCATCACCATTTTGGGTCAGAAATGGTCAAACCCGACCTGCCACGTCACTAAACCCGCCATGTCATACACCCAACCCACTAACACGACCCGACCCAAAACCAAACCCTCGCCCACTTAACAAAACAAGATTGGAAAATCGATCGGGTTAGTGGCCATTTCATACCAAAACCCTTTCTCCTTCCTCGCTTTGCTCCTTTCTTGAATCAATCCCCCACAAATAAATCCCCAAATTCGTCAAAAACCAGAATCCCTAGAAGCACGTACGTTCGATTGAAGCAAGCTGGCGATAGCTCGATGGAAGATTCAGATTAAGAGTATCCAGAACTCGACGAACTGGCAGGTGACTTACTCTAAGCGCCGCAAAGGGCTCTTCAAGAAGGCCAACGAGCTCACCGTCCTCTGCGACGCCAAAGTCTCCAGCACCGGCAAGCTCCACGAGTTCATCAACCCCTCCGCCACGTCAGTCTACATCACCTCTACTTTCATTCAATCTCTCCCTTCCTCTCTCCGAACCCCTAGATTCCCGATTCCAAATGAGAGCGAGCTGAATCCGAGTTGATCAGTCTTCGTCTTCGTCTCGGAAGTTTCAATCCAAGCTTGGATAGCACAATTTTTCAATCTCGTTGAGCTGAGCGTCAAATTTTTGCTTTTGTTTTTGTTTGTGTGGTTTGGTTGGGAGCGCAGAAGCAAGGGGATGTTGGATCAGTACCAGTGAGCTCTCGACGTAGACATCTGGATTACTCACTATGAAGTCCGGTCTCTCTTCATCTACTTCTTCCCTCCTGTCATCTTCCATGTTTGCTGAACGAGAGGACGGACCTCACTCTCCCTCTCCCTTAATCAATCTCTTTGTATGAGTGCAGAAGATGCAAGGTCAATTGAAGGAGATTTTTTATGATGAATTTGGGGATTTTTTTGGTGGGGGAATTGATTCGAGGAAGGAGAAAGGGTTTTGGTCTGAAATGTCCAATAACCCAATCGATTTTCCAATCTTGTTTTGTTCAGTGGGTGAGGGTTTGGTTTTGGTTCGGGTTGGGTTGGGTGTATGACATGGCGGGTTTAGTGACGTGGCGGGTCGGGTTTGACCATTTCTGACCCAAAATGGTGCTGACTAGGCGCTCCCGTTAGCCACGTCAGCACATAACGGACTCCCTTAACGGAGTTGGACGGAGACTAACGGAGAGTGACTAAACGTGACATGTTTCAGTAATTAGAGTGACCAAATTTGATATTAATTTTTTCTAGTGACTAAACATGACACAATTTAGTAATCACAGTGACCAAATGTGGCATTAACCCTATATATATTTATAGGTAGGGAACAAGTAGGAAATAGAAATAAATCAAAATTAAAAAGAATAAAGGTTGGTTTTTTCTTTTTCTGTATGGTGACTCGCACAAGTCACCACCACCACCGCCAAACGAATCCAACGTTTTCCTTTTCCTCCACTCTTCTTCGGGCAACCGGGCAGCACCTCATATAGCAAAAAGTCCAATCTCAGCGTGTTCCTCACAGCCTGCCCCATGAGCTGGCATCTCATCATTCTCACTTTCCTTCCTCACTTACTCCCCTCAGCTAACACGCAGCAAAGAATAACTAATTACGATTGCCAAATTACAAAAAGATCCCTCAACTCCTCCACCGTCCCTCTCAGATCCTCGATTCCATCAATCAATCGTAAGTGCAGGCATGCTTGAGCGAGATCGTGGCGTTGGCCTTGTTTGGATTGAACGTGATGTCGCACCCAATCGTCTTGTAGAATCTCGGCTTCACCAGTTTGCCCAGAACGTAAGCTTTGGACCGGACGGTGAAGTTCAGCGTCAGGTGGACCGGCAGCAGCGGCTTCCCGGTGGCCGTGCTGCTCAGCCCTGCCCCGCTACCGTACATTGGGATCTTGTCGCCGGCGATGGATATCGCCACCGACCTCTGGCTACTCCTCTTCTGATAAAACCGCTTCACCTGCGAAATTCACCGTGTTGACCGATTAACACACTTAATTATGCACAAGTTCCATACGAATTGATAATGTTTCGTAGAGATTATAAAAGCTTTACCGCTCCCGTGGCAATTGCGAGCTGTGAGTAGGACAGATCCAGAGGCGTCGAGGTCACGTGGACGCCGAAGAAAGTCCCGGTGTTGCGGTAGATCATTCGGACGGTGGAGTTCACTGTGATCATATCAGTAGCTACTCCGGAGGCGTCGGAGCCGGCTTGGATGTTGAAATGCTCGAACTTAATGCTCTGCAAAACATTAATTAAACCCCAAACTGAGCTACCCAATTGGAAATTACATCTCTAGATTTGGGGGAAAACTGAATTGAAATTAGAGCTTAGTACCTTCATTGTGATCTTGGGCTTCTGGGGTCTGCTAGCTCCCCAGAAAATCAGAGAGAAGAAAGAGAAGAGAACGAAGAACCCCAGAACAAAAGCGAGGACATAGCAGCGGCGAGGGATTCCCCTGCGCCGCTCTTCGTCTTCGAGCAGCCCTTCTTCCTCAATCACATCGACTTCTTTCCACTGCTTCTGGTTCCCCTTCCGGTGCCCGCCGCGGCCTCCGGAGGCGTCGTTGGGAGAGATCTTCCTAGATCCGGGCTTGAGCGAGCCGGAGAATCGGGTGGAGGAGGATTCCCGGGAGTGGTGGCCGACGGAGGAGTGGGAGTGAGGCGGGGAGGCGACGGGGCTGAGGACCGGGGTAGAGTGAAACGACGTCGTGGTCTTCTCGCCGTCGTGGGAGTCGCGGGAGGGGCTCTGGACGAAGTAGGCAGGGCGTCGGGGAGATCTGGTCGGCGACGACGGCGCCAGGCTGGTCACCTCGGAGTCGGTTTTGGCATGCATTTTTTGGGTTTTGTTTGGGGTAATGGGAGTGAACGGGAAAGCTGGGTGAAGCAGAGAGAAGCTTGTTCAGGCGGAGGAGGGAGAAAAATGGGTTTTATGGGAATAAGGGCAGTGAAGGGGAAGGCGGAAAATGGTGAGGGAGCTTCGTGTTCGTGAGCTCCAGCGGAGGCTGATGAGAGATTAGTCGGCGGAAATTGGTAGTTTAGTGACAGATTGTTTTTAGAAACAAAAACATTATTAATTAATTTAGCTTGGAGTGGAGACAGAGCAGAGAGAATAATAGCGCGTGGAATGTTTTTGGGGGACAGATAACAATGGGGAGTGTACTAAGACGGTGGGCTGCGGTAGGAAGGATTCGGCTCATGAATATTTCAGTTGAGCCTGGGATGTGAAGCCCATTTTCCTTCAAAGATAGGAAAAAGAAATTCGATGATGAAGCCCAAACTTAAATTCCTAGTGGTAAGACAGAAAGTTGTCGACTCGGTTTCTCCAGTTGATCCGAGTGAGCAAGTATGATAAGGATTAATGATCTGATCCATTTAAACCCTTTTAGTTTGAATATGTGAAAAGTATATTGCCTTCGTATATAAATTATTTTCAAAGTTAACAATCTACCAATAACACGATGGATTGAAGCAAAAGGGAAACTAAAAAAAGAAACTCACTCATCACAGGGTTAAAGAACGCTCAAACACATCATAATATTTCTATGTATAGTCTTTTCTATCAGTATACATTGGATGGAGAATGTATCAAAATAATATGTTTAATCGAAAAACCAACTCAACAACATCTAATAAGTTTCTCAGATCTCATCACCCCACCCCAACATCATATAATTGGTGAAATCAACCAGCCCAGTTCAAGTTGGGACTAGGAAAAGACTAGAATAAATCAGAAAGGGGAAATAATTTCATTGCATTGAAATGTCATTTATGGATAAGCTTGTTAGAGTAGTCAACAATGAGTGAACTCGGTGAAGTACCACATTGGTGGGAGAAGGAAATTGCAAGTGTTTTATAGCCTAACTACTTTATTTTATTGTATAAAGTAATAAGTGGGTTTGGAGTGAGTGTGTGCAATTTAATTTGACATATTAAATCGCATTTAGCAATTTGAAATTTTGTCTAATTAATTATCGGAATTATTTTTTATTAGTTAATTCTGAATAATTATTTGATTTTTGTGAAACGACATAACCCTTTGGAAGGGAACTGTCGTTTTCACAATAAAAGACTTCTGCAGCCAATCTTCTTTTCCAACGTTCATCTTCTTCTCCTTGTTTTTCCTTCTCCAAAAACACTAACACAGAAGTCAGGAAGGTGTTGCTTTCGAACTTTGATTGGAGGAGGGACTCCTGGAGGTGGCTTGCCTAAATCCTACCAGCAACAACGTAGTGGGGGCAAATAACACTCTAAGGAGAGTGTTCAAAATCATGCCTAAATCCTCTTCCCTACCGTTTCCCTGACAAAGCTTCCCTACATACTGGCAAATGAGTTGCCTCCAGTGGCTAATTCTAATTCATTGAATGAGCCCAAACACAAACACTACAGACTCAAAATCGGCAATGAGTAATTTATCTCCCTGCGACCCCGCCTACCTCGGTGGATATTACTATTTCTCACAAGAATACCTTGTTGGTTGCTACTCCATCGAGTGAGGCTCATCCATGTCAACATCTACCATTCTTCTGCAATGCTTTCTTGCTCATAAAAATCTGCATCGCATCCGAGATTCTAGACTACAATTCATCGACCGATGAAAATAGCATCAACAATGTATTCATCGTGTTGTTTCCTCTGAACGAGGATTTCGACTGGAGTATAGAATCCCTTTATGGCATTGCAATTGCGTATTTATGTATACTCTATTTCACTCTATCGAAATAGGGGACTTTTGTAGTGGCCAAGATTTTTCTACCCGTGAAAGTTTGAGCGTCCTTTGAGTTTATCTTTGTTCGAATGAGAATGATATTTACTTGTTTCAATTTCAATTTTGGGAATAGGAGGAAGAGTGGAAGAGAGAGAGAGAGAGAGAGGTCAATACTTTTTTGTTTTGTTTTAGTTTCGGCTTTTATCTTCCATGTCTCTTAACTTTATTATGTAATATGTGACTCAACAATTTAGACTGAGCTAGAATGATGATGTGGATGGAAAAGTACCTTTATTCTCCTTTAAGTTTTTGGACCGAACAGAGTGTGCAACGAAAATTGCGTTTCAGTGCTTTAGTTGAAATATCTTTTGAGATCCTTATCAAACCCAGTCACCGACGAAGATATGTTTCTCTATAGTTATACACAAGTGATCCACAGGTTCAGCGGGAGGCTCACTACACCTTAACTGGCCAAGATCGAGGAGTGGGCAACCCATGTTGCAACATTTCCGGAGACATTTGGGGCATTGTTCACCACCCACACTCCCGGCTTCTTAGGTCTAAATCATGTCTCGGGCTTATGGCTAAAATCTTCGTATGGTCGTGGCATAATTGTGGGGTAATCGATGGAGGGATCTGGCCACTAAGCAAAAACTTTGGCGACCTAGGGATGCCACCTATATCGGAAAAATGGAATGACAAGTGTGAAAATAGGCACAATTTCAAAGCTTCCTACTGGAATCGAATGCTTATTGTGCTCAATTTTGATCACTATTACAATGGCACCAAAGTTGCTTCTTGCCTTGCTGATCACTATTACAACGCCACAACCGGCCCTCTGGAGGTACACTTTGAAAGGCATGTGACCCACATGTCCTCCATTGCGGCAGGAAACTTCTTCCTTGAAACTAGATTCTTTTAGATACGGAAAGGGACAACAAGGGAGTCACTCCGAGAGCTGACATTGACATGTAAAAAGTCATCTAGGAAGTCGAAGACAATCAAAACTGCCATGCTGCACACTTGGACGTAGATATTATGCCATTGTCCATCAACTTCCCATTTTTGAACTTTAACAAGGATCTTATATCGAAGGGTTCGCTCGCTGCTACTGGAAGAAGGATTTTCGTCGAAAGTCCTCAAAACTAACCCATGCCTCCGTCAGGCAGTGACCATATTATCAACGGAGCCCCGTGGATCATGACCGTGCGAGCTGACATGGTTGATCAAAGTTGCATAGCAGAAAATGACACTTCCAAATAGAGTTGAAATAAAGGGGTATTCTTACTTCCTGCTGGGTAATATCCGCCTTCGATATGACTATGTACTATGCAGGAAAGGTGGCATGCTCTGCTACTTACTCCCTTAATCGCTCACAAGTTACAGGGAAGTTTATCATCTGTGAAAACGTGACCGAAGATCAACTAACATATATGGCTTTGAGGCTTGAGCAATTGGGCGCTTTTGGAGGAGTGTTGATCACTGAAAAGCCAACAACTTTGTTAGACCCAGTTGATTGTTCGATTTCGTTAATAGCTCTGCCTTAAATTTAGGAGATTTGGTAAGGAACTATGTGGCTGTTGTTTTTGCTGAGCCAAGCTACGGAGCATCGGATTTCAGTTGATTAAGATCGGGATCAAATCGAATATCTAGGATGGGATTTTCACTTGCAGAGGGCCCGACCGATTCAATTTAGGGATTTTGAAGATGGATGTTGTGCCTCTTGGAGTTAAAATCTTGGCAGCCTACTTGCGAAGGGTTTCTCACATGTCACGAAGAGATTATGATATGATGTCAGAGTACGCCATGCTCTTTGGCACATCCATGGTGACCCTGCACATTGCTCGCGTGCGACGCTTCTCAAATCCGTCTACCCTACATGGAGCCCAATTGCACTTAGATCGACTATGATGACCACTACTTTTGTGGTTGACAACACGAGACGACATTTGACAGAGAAGCTTATGATTCTTGAAATATCCCGGTCGATTTATAAGTTGGACACATCAATCCTAACAGGGCCCTGGATCCAGGGTTGGTGATAGCATCGTATTTGCACGTGTTTTCACTCTGGTTTCCTGCCCATTTTGGCTCGAATTGATTGTTCCTTGGCCTATTTTACGCTAGGTTGTGTTCCTTTGTCACATTTCAGGTCCTAGAACATAAAGTGAAGCATAGGCGCAAGTTTCAAGTCAATCAGAGATCAATTGACGATTCGGGAGAAGAAACTCGGGTATGACCTGAAGAAGAATGGATTTCTACCTCACTTTATGGACAGAGAATCATGCAAGCTTGTCATGAAAAGAAAGAGGACGAGACTACGAGCGTCTGGGTTCAAACGGCGACTGATTTGGAGTCCGGACGAGGGAGAAACGAAGCTTTGAACAGGAGCGGAGACAGAATTACGGGCAGCCCCTGCCAAATTACGGCCGTAATTGGCCAGGGCATGCCCGTAATTTATTGGCCGAGCCTTCTACCCAGAATTCCCTCGCGGTGATAAAATTACGGGCAAGACCCCAAGAATTACGGCCGTAATTCCTAAATTACTGGCGGTAATTGGGAAATTACGGCCGTAACTTCTCCTCTGCCAGCTTAAGTGAAACGCGCGTTTTGGTGCGAATTACGGGCAGGAAGTAATTACGGCCGTAATTCTGCCCGTAATTCGCCCAGAGTCGGGTTTTTGAAGGCAGATTCGAGCCAAGGAGAGGGAATTCGATTTTCTGGGCAAAAACAGAGTTTTAGAGAGAGAAAGAGCGAAGAACAAACCCTAGGAGCTATTTTGGAGTGGATTTCTCATCATTGAAGCCCAGATTGCGTCCCGAGGAGTGAAGATTGACATCCCAGAGCAGATTTTCCTCATCTTTATGAGTATGGCTACTCTGATTTCTGTTTTCCTTTCTCTCTCTATGGAGTAGAACCTCTCTCTCACTTGGGTATGAAGAACCCTAGTTCCTGATGTTAGGGTTTTGATTGTAATGACTTGGGAATGATATTATTGTTTGATTTTAATCGAATGACGCATGTTTCATGAATTGATTTGAGTCTGATCAACTTGTTTCAATTTCTGCTTCAACCTGAGATAGATAGAATCTGATTAGGTTGTTAGAGCTTCTTCATTCGATAGTAGG